AATGGTAAACTGAGTCTGTTTCTGGTAATCTCTTCTCCTTCAGACTTCTTCTTCTTCTTTGGACTTTATATGTTGGTTGGCAACCAACTTTAAGGTGCATTACCACCATCAACTGTACTGTAGTGTGGACCTCAGTTAATCTTTCAATCACCCACGTGGGTATATGCTCCTAAAAACCAATGAAGAGATGGGAGAGGCGGGACTTGCAGCATGTCAAGCGTGACAAATAGAAGAAATAGAACCAAGTTCTGTTTTTGTCACGCCCTGGCTCTGGGGACTCTTAAATGTTGAGCCAGGGTGTGGAGTTTCTATGTCATATTTTCTATGTTGTGTTTTCTAGATCGTGTAGATCTATGTTGGCCAGGGTGGTTCCCAATCAGAGGCAGCTGTATCTCGTTGTCTCTGATTGGGGACAATACTTAGGCAGCCTGTTTGGCACTAGTCGGTGTGGGATCTTGTTCCGTAAAGGTTTGTTTTGTGTAACCTAGGACTTCACGTATCGTTTGTTTGTTGTTTTTGTTCGTGTTCAGTACTAAATAAAATGTACGCTTATCACGCTGCGCCTTGGTCCGTATCTTCCATAAACGATCGTGAAAGAAGATCCCACCAAAAGAGGACCAAGCAGCGTGTCCAGGAACAGACAGCCTGGACCTGGGAGGAGATCCTGGACGGGAAGGGATCCTGGACTTGGGAGGAGATTCAGGCCGGAATGGATCGCCGTCCTTGGGAGGAGACTGTGGAGGAGCGCTATAGAGAGGAGCAGCGGCAACGCAGAGGGTACCGGCCGAGGAGGAAGCTCCGAGAGACAGCCCCAATACATTTTTTTGGGAGGGCTAAAAGGGTGGTTGGCGGAGCCTAGGGTTAGAGCAGAGCCAACTCCCCGTACTCAGGCTAGGAAGTGTGTGACTGGGCAGGCTCCGTGTTATGCGGAGCCACGTACTGTGCCGCGAGTGTTCCGGCACAGGCCTGTACGTCCTGTGCTAGCACCACGCACGTGTCGTGCAAAGATGGGCATTCAGCCAGGACGGGGTGTGCCGGCTCAACGCTCGTGGTCTCCAGTACGCCTCCTCGGTCCCGTATATCCTGCGCCAGTGCCACGTGCTGTAGCGCCAGTACGAGTGCACAGCCCCGTACGTCCTGTGCTGATGCCTCACACGTATTGTGTGGAAGTAGGCATTCAGCCAGGACGGGTTGTGTCAGCTCTTCGCTCCAGACCTCCAGTCCGCCTCCACAGTCCGGCCCGGCCCGTTCCGGCTCCCCGCACCAAGCCAGTGGTGCGTGTTCCCAGTCCGGTCCGGCCTGTTCCTGCTACCCGCACCAAGCCAGTGGTGCGCGTCGCCAGCCGGTCCGGCCTGTTCCTGTACCTCGCACCAAGCCAGTGGTGCGCGCCGCCAGCCCGGTCCGGCCTGTTCCTGTTCCCCGCACCAAGCCAGTGGTGCGTGTTCCCAGTCCAGCCCGGCCTGTTCCTGTCCCTCGCACCAAGCCAGTGGTGCGCGTTGCCAGCCCGGTCCGGCCTGTTCCTGTCCCTCGCGCCAAGCCAGTGGTGCGCGTCGCCAGCCCGGTCCGGCCCGTTCCTGCTCCCCGCACCAAACCAGTGGTGCGCGTCGTCAGCCCGGTCCGGCCCGTTCCTGCTCCCCGCACCAAACCAGTGGTGCGCGTCGTCAGCCCGGTCCGGCCCGTTCCTGCTCCCCGCACCAAGCCAGTGGTGCGCGTCGTCAGCCCGGTCCGGCCCGTTCCTGCTCCCCGCACCAAGCCAGTGGTGCGCGTCGTCAGCCCGGTGCGGCCCAATCCTGCTCCCCGCACCAAGCCAGTGATGCGCGTCGTCAGCCCGGTGCGGCCCGTTCCTGCTCCCCGCACCAAGCCAGTGGTGCGCGTCGTCAGCCCGGTCCGGCCCGCTCCTGCTCCCCACTCCAAGCTAGTGGTGCGCGTCGTCAGCCCGGTCCGGGCCGCTCCTGCTCCCCGCACCAAGCCAGTGGTGCGTGTGTCCAGTCCGGCACGGCCCGTGCCTGTCCCACCGGTGCCTGGTCCGGCATCGGTCAGCTGCTCCACTCCGGAGCCAGAGCAATCCGCTCCACCGGGGTCCGGTCCAACTCCTGTCAGCGGATCCACTCCGGAGCCAGAGCAATCCGCTCCACCGGTGCCCAGTCCAGCTCCAGCCAGCGGCTCCAGTCCGGAGCCTGTACAGATCGATCCACCGTTGTCGGGTCCAGCTCCAGTCAGCAGTGCCAGACCAGACCAGGGGCGCAACGGGGAGGTGGAGAGAAAGTGGTGGTCACGCCCGGAGCCGGATCCACCTCCGAGGCGGAATGCCCACCCGGCCCCTACCCTGTTGTGTTTGTGTGGCGCGGTCGCAGTCCGCGCCTTTGGGGGGGGGTACTGTCACGCCCTGGCTCTGGGGACTCTTAAATGTTGAGCCAGGGTGTGGAGTTTCTATGTCATATTTTCTATGTTGTGTTTTCTAGATCGTGTAGATCTATGTTGGCCAGGGTGGTTCCCAATCAGAGGCAGCTGTATCTCGTTGTCTCTGATTGGGGACCATACTTAGGCAGCCTGTTTGGCACTAGTCGGTGTGGGATCTTGTTCCGTAAAGGTTTGTTTTGTGTAACCTAGGACTTCACGCATCGTTTGTTTGTTGTTTTGTCGTGTGTTAAGTTCTTAATAAAATGTACGCTTATCACGCTGCGCCTTGGTTCCATGAATCCTTAAACGATCGTGACAGTTTTAGCGCCTGGCTACGCAGACGCTCGTTGACGCGTGTGAGCAGTGTGGGTGCAATGATTGAATAACATGTATGTGTACATTTATTTTGCAACGCTCGCGCACGTAACGCTTGCGGTGTGGTCAGCATGTAAAACCATTTTCCCCTCTGGGACATTAAAGTTGATCCTGTTCATCCTATTGTAGGTCACTGACCACAGTATTAGTTCAGCAGCATTGTACCTTTGGCCCAGGTTAAGATATCGGGGTTTCGTGTGGAAGAAATGATAAACCCCTTCTTGAATTATACTAAAACATGTCAATCCCTCTCTACTGGTACAGGACATGGCATATAAGTAGGCCTACTATAGTAGCATGTTATTACTATACGTCTGCAATTTTCTTATCTTGGTATGGATAATTCCATATGGATTCTGTCAGTGTTTCCCCAAATGGTGGGTCCCGCCAGCGAAAGCCTACAATAGCGTCTGGAAACATTTGCTTGGTTTAAAGGGTAGGTCAGAGGAACATTTGACAAGCTATGGGAACCCAAAAACGTTTGAGGACTAATGGATGACGTTACACTGAACGTTAGAGAGGGTTTCTTAGGTACACTACACGAACATCTCAATCCAAAACAATGGGCACTAATATGGAGTTGGTCCCTCCTCATTTGCTTCTATAAGAGCCTCTATAACGAACTGTTGCCACAAAGTTGGAAGCACAGAATCGTCTAGAATGTCATTGTATGCTGTAGCATTAAGATTTCCCTTCACTGGAACTAAGGGGCCTAGCCCGAACCATGAAAAACAGCCCCAGACCATTATTTGTCCTCCACCAAACTTTACAGTTGGCACTAGGCATTGGGGCAGGTAGCGTCCGTCAGACTGCCAGATGGTGAAGCGTGACTCATCGCTCCAGAGAACGCGTTTCCACTGCTCCAGAGTCCAATGGCGGCAAGCTTTACACCACTCCAGCCGACGCTTGGCATTGCACATGGTGATATTAGGCTTGTGTCCGGTTGCTCGCCCATGGAAGCCCATTTCATGAAACTCCCAACAAACAGTTATTCTGCTGACGTTGCTTCGAGAGGCAGTTTGGAACTCTACTGAGTGTTGCAACCGAAGACCGGTTATTTTTGCGCGCTACGTGCTTCAGCACTCGGCAGTCCATTTCTGTGAACTTGTGTGGCCTACCACTTTGCGGCTGAGCCGTTGTTGCTCCTAGACGTTTCCACCTCACAATAAGAGCACTTACAGTTGACCGGGGCAGCTCTAGCAGGGCAGAAATTTGACGAACTGACTTGTTGGAAAGGTGGCATCCTATGATGGGGCGACGTTGAAAGTCACTGAGCTCTTCAGTCAGGCCATTCTACTGCCAATGTTTGTCTATGGAGATTGCATGGCTGTGTGCTCGATTTTATACACCTGTCAGCAACGGGTGTGGCTGAAATAGCCAAATCCACTAATTTGGTGTCCACATACTTTTGTATATATAGTGTATGGTAGGGCTAGCCTGAGAATATGCCTGTCTGTGATGAAGAGATTATCAATGTATTTACCAACACAAGACCATTGAAATATACTTATTTCATATTTTTTATTTTACACAACATAACTATGTACAGGGTTTTTTTGTGCCTTAAAACAAAGGCAATATCAATGTCACTGAAAAGAAAGCTTGAATTTGTCTTGAAAAAATATCAATTTAATAAGAGTCCCAGTAACAAGTCTGATCGTTATTTTTTTGTATTGTCTCATATGCAGGAAATGTTATTTCCTTATAATAGAAAGGCTTTTTGTGAAATCGCTCTTGTTCCTCTTGATCCCACATCCTGTGTCAGGGACAGCTGAATTCCTGTTGGTGCTCCTGGCAAGAGGACAACTGTTATGCAGAGGAAGGCACCAATGCTTTTCTCTTGCCACAACTATAACAATGGGACTATGTACTGTATAAGTGGACAGGTGTGTTGGTTTTCTTTTTCTCAATGTTTTCCTTTTTCGTTTCTTTGTTGTATGGGTATGAAAACACTGCATGGACTGCTGAGCACTGTGCTCCGAGCCCTCCTGGAGATTCTCTCCATCGGAGGAAAGCAGGGATGCAATTCTGATTCCTACAAGGCAAGCATCCGTTTTACTGTTGGTCTTTGAAAATAAAAATAAAAGTAAACTGAAACTCAAGGAGAAAAAAATAAAAAATGGTTCAAAAACAGATTTCCCAACTCACACACACACACACACACACACACACACACACACACACACACACACACACACACACACACACACACACAAACAGAACAGTCACACAGTGCTTTCTAGAATCCACTCTGAACTGGAAAAGGTGGCTTTGCCACTGTCTATATCTTCCTGTTGAAGTAGAATCCCGTTCATGGACATACTCCGCTTAGACCACATATTCCTAAATTGTGTTGTCCCAATGTAGCAGTGGTGCTTGGACAAGTCCTCGTTTAGAGAGTACCTACGTTTGGCCCTCACCCCTTCCACCGGTAAGGTCAGGTACTTGGAGGAGGGTCTGGGGTGTGCGCGTCTCAATATGGGGGTGTCCTTGACGCGCGAGGAGGGTAGGGGGGAGTGGAATACTGGGGCGGAGGGCTGCTGCAGAGCCGTGGAGTTGTTGCGGTTGGTGTTGTGGGTCTCAGCATTGGGGAGGGCCTCTATCTTGGGCTCAGGGGTGGCAGCAGCAGCAGTGTAGGGCTTTGGTGCAGGCTTGCGCTTTGGCTTCAGAGACCCTGAGGATCCAGGTGTGTTCCAGCTCTGGGTCACCAGGGACGTAGCAGTGGAGCAGTCTGGGAGAGAGGTCTCGGACGAGTGCGTTAGCGTGTCCGTCGCATGCCCAGCGGCCTTTAGACACCCTCCACCCCCTCCCTCTGACCCTCCCATGGCCTGCTTGGACACAGAGGGTGTGACGGTGCACCCCTGAGACTGCGCCCCGTTGGTCTGTGAGTGGACATTGGTGACAAGGGTGCCTTTGCCCGAGTCACTGGTGTTGCAGACCTTGTAGCGGATCATGAGGATGATGATGAAGACGAGGACGGAGGCCACGATGATGCCGCCGATGATGATGATCATGGTGCCTCCCAGGAACTGGGACTGCATGAAGTGACAGCGCAGGTACTCAGACTCGGTGGTGAACTGGACGCAGCCCACCACACGGGTGGCAGTGAGGGAGGTGATACCGTCGTCGTAGATGGCCAGAACACACAGGTCGTACGACGTCCCAGCAGCCAGGTTGTTGACTAGGAAGTTTTTGCTTGTGGGGGGAATCATTCTGAGAGGAGAGAAGGAAAAATGTGTTATAAAGACAATTAATGTCATTAATGCATACTCTTTTCTTACCAATTGTTCAAAATGTACTTCTGCTTCTGACAAGCAATTTCCTATAGACTTAAAACAATGCTAGTTGCTGCATTTTATAAATAAAGTTTCATATCTAATTATACCAAAACTACAAGGCTAATCAAAATGAATATATTTTTGGAGAGCAATGAAACCTAAAATGTTCAAAGACAACACAAACAATCTCAAGATGTTACAGCATTGTGTGTGCAATATTCCTGTATAACATTAGACAGCATACATTGACTAGGTGAATGCTAATGTAATTTATATTCCTGAATATCGTTTGACCTCTAATGTTGTCTTTGCCATTGTGGTGTTTATTTATTTGGAAGAAAGTGGCTAAGAAAGCAGCATTTATTGGTGGCTAGATGTGTTATTAACTCTTATTAAAGTTGTCATCGCAATGTCTGCCCAGGACTGTTCACTCTAAGAACCAGCAAGGACTCATTTAATGAACAGGGCTGTCCATTCCTTCCCTCTTTTTTTCTACCATCTTCTGACAAATATCTGGAGAATTTAAAGATCTTAAATAACTGCCGGAAAATTCTGAACAGTTAACACATTGATAAAGTCTAGAAATGGCTGACGATGGAAAGACTTTAGGCCAATCATGGTAAATTTTGAGTGAAGGGATATATATATATCAATTTTTACATTTACATTTGAGTCATTTAGCAGATGCTCTTGTCCAGAGCGACTTACAGTAGTGAGTGTATACACATCCATCACTATACAAAAAGGAGTTACAACAACACTACATGGCAGAGATTGTCATTGTCATTTAAAAATGCTTAGCGATATCGAACTTTCAAACTGTGACCTTTACAGAATACCAGTAAATACACTATTTTTTAGTCCTTTCTTTGTTGATTATGATTTTGCGACGCTCAAAACCATATGGAACTGATTGCATTGCCAAAGAAATTCAATTAATTGAATGCTTTCATGCAGAAAACGTAGCTTATGACAGGCACATAATGTGGCTCTCTACCTTTGCTGTACATTGTCAAGAAAATTACTGTGTTAAGCCCTTAAAATATAAATGATAAAAACAACAGCGCCCAAAGGGTAAACAACACTTCCACTGATTTATTTACTATTAACATTTGCTGAGCCGAGGGTCTAAAACCAAGATAACTTAACGTAGGCTGACTACACATGCAGGTTGACAACCTTGACATCCACAAACAGTCATCGGGCAAAGTGCACAGCACATCTCCATCCAGCCATGTCATCTAAATCTACAGCTAATGGAATGTTTTTCTTCTTTTAGTTTAAACCCATTTAAAATCTTGTGAGAGACAGACAACATATAATTTTAACAAGATTGTTATGTTAGCCTGGGTGTGTTTATTGGACAATAAAATAGACATTGGGACCATTTAATTTGAATAAAGCTGTTTCTTTCATGCCTTAAGCACATCTGAGCCAGGTATTACCTTCCCCATAGGGCTTTTTGCTGGCTAAAATTGCCCATGTTGGAGTGCTTTAAAAGAGGCTCATTCTCCTGATTTGTGTGCACATAAAAACTTGCTGCACAATTGCCCAGATTTTTTAATCACAACCCCATTGAGTAATAAATATGCTTGAAAGGAAAATGACTGTGTGCAGGTGAAACAACCAGGGGCGCAACTTTTGTTTTAGAAGTGGGGGGGACATTATTATTATTATTATATATATTTTTTAATCCAGTCGGATAAACACTCCAAACAGCCTACCCGACCGCATTGTCCTAAAGCACACCGTTGCCCCGTTTGGGACATATCCCCCCCGTCCCCAGTGAAAGTTGCGCCCCTGGACACAACTATAGAGAAAGCTATAGTAAAACTGAAATGGTCTGTGCTTCTGGGATATATTGACAGGAGACATGCTATTCAAAAGGTCAATGTACCCCAGAGACTATTGGTGATCCTTCATATCAACACAAGAACACAAACTCAGGACTAGTGAGAGGGTATAATGTGGCTTTGTAGTTGTGTGAAGCTTTTAAAAAATATATTTGTAAGACTATATTAGTGGAAAATTAGTAATACTGTTCAATGCAAAATCTGAAGATACGCTAATGTTAGAAACCCTTTCAAAAGAAACATGGTGTTCATCACTCCCTACTCTCTGAGGATAGATGCTGCAGCCAGCCATTATACGCCCGATGCTCAAAAGAACAGCGTTCCTCCCTTCCTCAGATATAGGATTGGTTTCCATTTGTGCCTCTACAGGCAAAGAGAGCAAAGGGATTGATCCTTTCCTATTAGATCAACATAAAAAAGTGACAGATGTTTTCGTTAATGAACCGCAGATGGTTTCCTCCTGCCCATTGGAGTTCCAGCCAATTGTTTGTTATTTAGACTTAATCAATGTACTGCATGTGCCCATTGCAGTTCCAGTTAGTTGTAGTTGTTGAGACTGAATTAGTTAGTGTGGAACTGACTAAAACTGGCCATTTTACTGACGACCTCTTTGAAATCCAATAATCTCCTATTCACATCACAGAGAAAACAGGGTGGTTATGTGTTGCTTCACAATGCAGAGTTCAGCTCATCTTAATCTATATGAGATCATGACTGAGAGACTGCTGTCTTTCTTTGATCCCTCTGTCACACAGCCTGCCTGCTCTGAGCCAATGTGGGGATGTGAGTTTTGCTTTGCATGGGTTTTTACTAATTCATTTTTAAGGATTACAGTGGATCTAAAACAGATGTAATAACATTGGGATTTTAGATAAAAATTATTGTTTGTTTTTGTAATTCCACTCACATGTATTTCTTGTAAATATTTGTATGTTTACTCAATTCTGTTGTGCAAATACAATCACTCACTGTACAATAGTCGAACATGAAATGTAATAGATTACAATCACACAAATCTAGCATGAGCTACTAGCTAAATAGCTTTTAAATCTCAGATCGTGGCTACCGTAATTGCTTAGCAATTGAATATTGGTTGTTTAGTTTAATGCGTTGCTTAATAAAGATGGTCACCATCATTGATTTTATAAAGAAGTGGTTGAAAGCCTATAAAACATCATTTAGGGTTTGCATGGTCTGTGAATATGATTGAGACAAACATCTTTTTATGCATAAAAACATATCTGAACCAATACTATAAGTGCACTTGATGATTGAAATTAAATCCATTAGGGCCATTACGTGGACCCCATTTGACGTGGACTTCAGTTAGAAGAAGATTTTAAGTTTTCTTCTCCAGCTGAAATCGCAAATACAACTTTAAATGGTAAGAATTCTGTTATTTTTGTCAAATAATTTATACTGTTGCACACCTCTAACTTGGCTTTAGCCAACTAGATAGCTAGGCAGCTAACGTTAGTTAGCTAGCTAGCTCTCATTCAATTTAGCTAGGCATAAGAGACATTCAATTAGCCTCTCTTAGCTAACTAACCTAGTACAATTGCAGGCATGATATTATAGTTAAGTCTTATATTAGTCTTATTTTACATTGCTATTTTATATTGTAATCATTCTTTACCGGCGAGGTGACTGTCAGGTTTAGAAACCATCCAAGGTAGCCAGCTAGCTAAAGTCAGGTTAGTTAGCATGATGATCCATTATCTATTTGTAGACTTGACTAATTTTCGAATCAGCGAATCTTTATTCTGTTATGTGTAAGACAAACAGTCATTGCAATGATATGATCATTTAGAAATGTCATTTCTGACTCGCTATTCCTGGCGCTTTAGGGTAGTCAGTCATCGCTGGTAAAGAGGGCCTCTAGTAGTAGCTAGAGTGATCTCCAATATATTTTGAGGAAGTTAGTTGATTGAGTGATTATCATTTCAGAGAACACCACATCCAATGTGGGTCAGATGATCCAATGGTTAGTTTTCTGTTTTCTAATGTAATCTTAGTATTTTGTGTGTGTTTAACCGGTTCCCAGTTGTGTTGGAGCAACAACGGGAGAACGGGAGAGGTTGTGTTTTCTCTAGCAGGAGGTAAGCTTGGCTTCTTATATGGTGTTGAGTAAAGCTTAAACCATGTATTTAGATTGTAGGTAGGTATTGTAGTTAGGTATTATAGGTAGTTTACTCAGGTAGTTATTGTAGGTTATTGTAGGTAGTTATTGTAGGTAAGGACTGTATTCGGCGGACCCCCGCGAAGCACGAGGCTAGCTTACCCACTACTTGGACCAACAAAGCTAGCTAGCTAGCTAGCGGGTAGCTACTGGTAACTTTTAGCAACTGTGGTTAGTTGTTTCCAATGTTATTTCATGCTTAAGAGTACCTGTGATTGAGCCAGCTAGCCGCCACCATTCAGCTGTTTTTCTAACCTCATTATCATTAACGTTAGGTGGTTGGTAGCTGCTGTACTTAATTACGGCTACTGATTGCAGTCTGCCAGTTTGGCTTTATACATAGCTTGGGCTTTGTCGAGTAAGGCTTAAACTATGTATTTAGATTGTAGTTAGGTATTATAGGTAGGCATCGTGGGCTGCATATTATGAAGTAGTATAGGTAGGCATCGTGGGCTGTTGTGGGTAGTTGTTGTGTAGTTATTGTAGGTTACTTTTGTATTCGGCGGTGCCGGGTGTAGCACGAAGCTAGCTAACTAACTCACCTCCTGGATTAGCTGGCGAGTAGCTATTAGCAACGGTAGCAACTAATAACAATATCCTTTTAGCCAGCTACATTCGTTCGCAGCGACACCGTTTTTCAAACAAAGTCAACACAGCAGCCATTGCTAGATAGCCAACACTACCAGCTGGCTGTACTGTAGTAGCTAAATACAATATCTTTGTGCTAGCTACCCAACGTTTAATCATTGCTGCGTTATGAAAGGTAAGCTTGGCTTCTTATATGGTGTTGAGTAAAGCTTAAACCATGTATTTAGATTGTAGGTAGGTATTGTAGTTTGGTATTATAGGTAGCTTACTCAGGTAGTTATTGTAGGTTATTGTAGGTAATTATTGTAGGTAAGTATTGTATTCGGCGGACCCCGGCGAAGCACGAGGCTAGCTTACCCACTACTTGGACCAACAAAGCTAGCTAGCTAACTTTTAGCAACTGTGGTTAGTTGTTTCCAATGTTATTTCATGCTTAAGAGTACCTGTGATTGAGCCAGCTAGCTGCCACCATTCAGCTGTTTTTCTAACCTCATTATCCGAGGCATTAACGTTAGGTGGTTGGTAGCTGCTGTACTTAATTACAGCTACTGATAACAGTCTGCTGTAGTTTACAACAATTCTAATTTCTAAAGTGGAAGTTGGGAGAGTTTTATTCGGGTGGTTCAGTGAAACAATTATAGTTTCTGAGGTGGAAGTTGGGAGAGTTATATATTTTTTTGGTGAGGGAGGCCTGCTCTCTCCTTTCCCAGATGTTTAGTTCATTTCATTCCGATCTCCTCTGCATTGTTGTAGCCATCTGCTGCAGCCTGTCAACTATGCCTCTGCCTATCCCTGTTCTCTCCTCTCCGCACAGGCTACACAAACGCCTCACACCGCGTGGCTGCTGCCTCTCTAACCTGGTGGTCCCTGCACGCACCACACACCTGGAGTTCCAGGTCTCAGGCAGCCTCTGGAACTGCCGTTCTGCCGCCAACAAGGCTGACTTCATCCCAGCCTATGCTACCCTCCAGTCCCTCGACTTCCTGGCGCTGACGGAAACATGGATTACCACTGAAAACACTGCTACTCCTACTGCTCTCTCCTCGTCTGACCATGTGTTCTCGCATACCCCGAGAGCATCTGGTCAGAGGGGTGGTGGCACAGGAATCCTCATCTCTCCCAAGTGGTCATTCTCAATTTTTCCCCTAACCCATCTGTCTATCTCCTCATTTGAATTCCACGCTGTCACAGTCACTAGCCCATTTAAGCTTAATATCCTTGTCATCTATCGCCCTCCAGGTTCCCTTGGAGAGTTCATCAATGAGCTTGACGCCTTGATAAGTTCCTTTCCTGAGGATGGCTCACCCTTCACAGTTTTGGGGGATTTCAACCTCCCTACGTCTACATTTGACTCATTTCTCTCTGCCTCCTTCTTTCCACTCCTCTCCTCTTTTGACCTCACCCTCTCACCATCCCCCCCCACTCACAAGGCAGGCAATACGCTTGACTTCATCTTTACTAGATGTTGCTCTTCTACTAATCTCACTGCAACTCCCCTCCATGTCTCCGACCACTACTTTGTATCCTTTTCTCTCTCGCTCTCCTCCAACACTACTCACTCTGCCCCTACACAGATGGTAACGCGCCGCCGCAACCTTCGCTCTCTCTCTCCCACTACTCTCTCCTCTTCCATCCTATCATCTCTTCCCTCTGCTCAAACCTTCTCCCTCCAATCTCCTGATTCTGCCTCCTCAACCCTCCTCTCCTCCCTTTCTGCATCCTTTGACTCCCTGTGTCCCCTATCCTCCCGGCCGGCTCGGTCCTCCCCTCCAGCTCCGTGGCTTGATGACTCATTGCGAGCTCACAGAACAGAGCTCCGGGCAGCTGAGCGGAAATGGAAGACAACTAAACTCCCTGCCGACCTGGCATCTTTTCACTCCCTCCTCTCTACATTTTCTTCATCTGTTTCTGCTGCTAAGGCCACTTTCTACCACTCTAAATTCCAAACATCTGCCTCTAACCCTAGGAAGCTCTTTGCCACATTCTCCTCACTGCTGAATCCCCCCCCCCCCCCCCCCCCCCCTCCCTCTCTGTGGATTACTTCGTCAACCACTTTGAAAAGAAGGTTGACGACATCCGATCCTCGTTTGTTAAGTCTAATGACACTGCTGGTCCTGCTCACACTGCCCTACCCGATGCTTTGACTTCTTTCTCCCCTCTCTCTCCAGATAAAATATTGCGACTAGTGACTGCAGGCCGCCCAACAACCTGCCCGCTTGACTCCATCCCCTCCTCTCTTCTCCAGACCATCTCCTGTGACCTTCTCCCCTACCTCACCTCGTTGATCAACTCATCCTTGACCGCTGGCCATGTCCCTTCCGTCTTCAAGAGAGCGAGAGTTGCACCCCTTCTCAAAAAACCAACACTCGATCCCACTGATGTCAACAACTACAGACCAGTATCCCTTCTTTCTTTTCTTTCCAAAACTATTGAGCGTGCCGTCTTTAGCCAACTCTCTTGCTATCTCTCTCAGAATGACCTTCTTGATCCAAACCAGTCAGGTTTCAGGACTGGTCATTCAACTGAGACTGCTCTTCTCTGTGTAACGGAGGCTCTCCGCACTGCTAAAGCTAACTCTCTCTCCTCTGCTCTTGTCCTTCTAGACCTGTCTGCTGCCTTTGATACTGTGAACCATCAGATCCTCCTCTCCACCCTCTCCGAGCTGGGCATCTCCGGCGCGGCTCACTCCTGGATTGCGTCCTACCTGACCGGTCGCTCCTACCAAGTGGCGTGGCGAGAAGCTGTCTCCGCACCACGTGCTCTCACCACTGGTGTCCCCCAGGGCTCAGTTCTAGGCCCTCTCCTTTTCTCCCTATACACCAAGTCACTTGGCTCTGTCATATCCTCACATGGCCTCTCCTATCATTGCTACGCTGACGATACACAACTAATCTTCTCCTTTCCCCCTTCTGATAACCAGGTGGCGAATCGCATCTCTGCATGTCTGGCCGACATATCAGTATGGATGACGGATCACCACCTCAAGCTGAACCCTGGCAAGACGGAGCTGCTCTTCCTCCCGGGGAAGGACTGCCCGTTCCATGATCTCGCCATCACGGTTGACAACTCCGTTGTGTCCTCCTCCCAGAGTGCGAAGAGCCTTGGCTTGACCCTGGACAACACCCTGTTGTTCTCCGCTAACATCAAGGCGGTGACCCGATCCTGCAGGTTCATGCTCTACAACATTCGGAGAGTACGACCCTGCCTTACACAGGAAGCGGCACAGGTCCTAATCCAGGCACTTGTCATCTCCCGTCTGGATTACTGCAACTCGCTGTTGGCTGGGCTCCCTGCCTGTGCCATTAAACCCCTACAACTCATCCAGAATGCCGCAGCCCGTCTGGTGTTCAACCTTCCCAAGTTCTCTCACGTCACCCCCCTCCTCCGCACACTCCACTGGCTTCCAGTTGAAGCTCGCATCCGTTACAAGACCATGGTGCTTGCCTATGGAGCAGTGAGGGGAACGGCACCTCCGTACCTTCAGGCTCTGATCAGTCCCTACACCCAAACGAGGGCATTGCGTTCATCCACCTCTGGCCTGCTGGCTCCCCTTCCTCTGCGGAAGCATAGTTCCCGCTCAGCCCAGTCAAAACTGTTCGCTGCTCTGGCACCCCAATGGTGGAACAAGCTCCCTCACGACGCCAGAACAGCGGAGTCACTCACCACCTTCCGGAGACATTTGAAACCCCACCTCTTTAAGGAACACCTGGGATAGGATAAAGTAATCCTTCTACCCCTCCCAAAAAAAATTAAATAATAATAATAATAATAATAATAATAATAATAATTGTAAAGTGGTTATCCCACTGGCTATAGGGTGAATGCACCAATTTGTAGTCGCTCTGGATAAGAGCGTCTGCTAAATGACGTAAATGTGCCCTTAAGCAAGGCACTTAACCCTAATTGCTCCTGTAAGTCGCTCTGGATAAGAGCGTCTGCTAAATGACTAAAATGTAAATGTAAATGTAATTACTAATTTCACCACGAATTTCATACAGAAATCCGGTCAATAAAATCACCAAGAGGGGATTGAACAGAACCTACCTGTAAACGAGAGAGTCATCATAACTGCCATTGTACTGAATCTGGAACATGCGGATCCCAGGTATATTCCTCTGGAAGTTGAACTTGATGAGCGCAGTGGAGGACGTGGCCTCAGCGATGACCACCTGTTTATCTGTGCTAGTTTTGGTGTCCCCAGTGTGGTTGCTGCCGTTGGCCCCAGCCCTGGTGGACGTGGAGATGTCAGAGGAGCCAGGGTCAGGCTCCTGGATGTTGTTGGTGCTGTTGGAGATGTGTGGGAGTTTGATAATCAGCAGCTCCACAGTCTGATGTGCCTCACCCGCTGGGTTGGACGAGATACAGGTGAAGGATCCCGTGTCCTTCACTGTGCTGATCAGAATGTCCAGGGTGCCGTTGGTGTACACAAGCGTCCGGGAGGAGTTCGCCACCAGCTTCCCCTCTGGTGAGATCCAGTGTATGGCAGGCTCAGGGTCCCCCCTGGCCTTGCACCTCAGGACCACCCTCTGCCCTTCCAGCACCCGCATCTCATGGGAGTGCCGGGTGATGAGAGGAGGTTCACACAGGAACTCCTCCTCAGGGATAGACCAGAAGTAGCGTCCGGAGAGATGCTGTGGTGAGGCGCACGTCTCCAGATCATCCTCTCGGCTCAGGCGCCTCAACCACAGCAGCTCACAGTTGCAGTGCAGTGGGTTTCCACCAAAGCTCAGCGCGAACGAGGGAGGGTTCATGATCCCAGACGTGGCCAAAATCTGGGCCCGCTGGAACAGAGGATCAGGAGGGAGCTTCTGTAACTTATTAGAGGTTACGTCCAAGCGGTTGAGCTTTTGGAGAAGAGAGAAGGTCCCCTCAGGAATGTAGTCGATCATGTTGTGGTCCAGGCTGAGGGTGGCAAGGCTGGTCATCCTTTGGATAGCCTCCCAGGGGATGGACTCCAGGTTGTTGTAGGACAGATCCAGCTCCTCCAGGGCCAGCAGGTCATTGAAGGCCCCCAGGTGGATCAACGTCAGCTGGTTGTTGTTAAGGATCAGGTGGTGCAGTTTGGACATGCCGCTGAAGGTGTCATTGGCTATCCGGGTCAGACGGTTGCTATTCAGGTGCAAGGCGCGGAGGTTCTCCAGGTCAGCGAACGCGTGCGGCGTGATGAAGCTAATGGTATTCCTGGACAGGGTGAGGTCCTGCAGCCTGGTCATGTTGGCAAAGTCTTTCCTTTTGATGCTGGTGACGAAGTTGTCGGCCAGCCGCAGCTCCACGGTGTGCCTGTCAATGTTCGGGGGGGTAAAGAGGAGCCCTTTTTTGGCACAGAGGGTTGCGAGGTTGGGAGATAGTATTTGACAGACACAGCGCTTCGGACAGATCTGGGCCTTCACTGCCATTCCAATAACCAACAGACAGACCAGCAGTTTTTCCATTGTAAGTCAGGTTCAAACACCTGCAACATAGGACAGAGAGAGGGAGAGAAAATAGATAGTTTGTCATCTGAACTGGATCATTACATTCACCACCAAAATTGACCACAGCAGTGACACTAACAGATGCTCTGATACTTAGTTATATTCCACCCCAGCCTTGAAAATCCATTTGTATAATGTGGCCATTTAGTAGGACAATACCCAGGGGTCAAAACTTGTTGAAATGACGTCAGTACAACTATAAACTGGTTGAAATGACACCATTATAACTATAAACTGATTAATTGAGGTCAGTACAACTATAAACTGGTTGAAATGACACCAGTATAATTAGAAACTGGTTGAAATGACGTCAGTACAACTATAAACTGGTTGAAATGACATCAGTACAACTATAAACGGGTTGAAATGACGTCAGCACAACAAAACACTGGTTAAATAATGTCAGTACAACTAGAAACTGGTTAAATAACGTCAGTACAACTAATAACTGGTTAAATATTCTAACATAAATAATATATGTATGTTTACATGCATCATTAGCCTGTCCATACACCATAGTTCCGAACAGAGCTTTTTACTTTAAAACACATCCCCTGCTGCTCTCCTCTCCTCTACACCCAGAGTGAGTCATGTTATCCCTGTGTTGGGGTCACTCACTCAGAATTAGAAGTGTGTGGGGGTGCAGAACAGAGGAGCTGTTTCATCTTGCTTAAGCCTGATCTGCGGACTGCAGCAGACACATCTAGCACATTACCCTTACACGCAGGAAGGTATCACCGCCGTAATTACACTGAGGAAAGTATGGAATGAGAAGATAAGTGTCTCGCTACTCACTCAGCCTGGCTGCCTGCCTGGCTACCTGGCTGGCTGCCTGGCTGCCTGCCTGCCTGCATGGCTGCCTGGCTGCCTGCCTTCCTGGCTACAAAGGAAGGATGATGGGTAAATTAAATAAAGTCAATGTGATGAGGTGTGAAAAATCCTGACAGGAGAATTTCATTTCGTGACATAGAGTGAATGGGATCATGTAGACATAACAGTCTATCATCATAGTCAGCCAGACCATACTTGACACTGACACATGCCAAAACCACTGCCTGACGTATGCACTTATGATTACCTCACGTTTGGAAAAGGCCTAATTTAGCCTATAGGATGATCTGGCATGATACAGTATGTTATTTTTATGAAGGAGAAGAGGTACTCGTCACATGACAGGCTACTAAAGGTAGGTAAAGAGCCAATATCTGCATCCCAAATAACACCCTACTGTCCCTATTCCCTATATAGTACAATACTTTTAACCAGGGTCCATAGTGTACTGTATAGGGAATATGGTGCCATCTGGGACACAATGAATCACATGACATGCAGGTCCAGTGAACTTGCATGGCATGGCAGCCTGTGTGATTATCTAATTTTCTAGTTTGTCTCGCCCCGGA